TTCTACTCAAATCTTGGATATGCTACACAAACTCCATCATAATTGTGTTAGAGCTTCGAATCTTTAAGTGATCTTCAAGTGTTCTTGGGTTGAACACTTCTCTTCTTCAACACTTATCTACTGAAATCACATAAGGTGAGTTCATACCCCTACATTTTAATGTTTTCTCAAGTTTTTAAGGGGGGGGGGGGGGGGGAATACAAGTTAAAACACCAAGAACATAACTAAAATTTTCTAACAGCCTTCATCAGAAAAGTTCAACTCCATTCACGAACTGTTTTGGACAACTTAAACATTTTATTTTTCAAAACTGTTTTAGGTGCAAGTAGTTCCATTTCTTAGCTTTAAAATGACTACTTGCAAATCTCCAAACGATTTTCTACAATTTATGATGATTTTTACAAAACAGCATGTGTTTTCAAACATAAATCCGGACCAGTCTGTGAATATGAACGCAAATCTAATCATTTTAGGAATCTGAACATGAATAAATGAATTTGTGTATGCAATTGTCTATACTTTTAAGGTGTAATTTATCTAAACAGTATGAAAGATTTGTTTTCTTTAATTTATTGAAATTGTTATAATTGTTAGTTTGATTCAATATTTCTTATTCTTTCTGAATAATTATTTTAAAGAATCCTCCATGATGAGATTAAGCTTTCTTTTAATCTATGAAGATCGATTAGATCTTGAACAAGTATGTAAATAATGACGATATGAACACAAATAAAAGAACAGAACAAGATTGAATCAAACGTGTCGAATGATTAAAACAAAATCCTCAGAAGAGCTCGATTAAGAACATCAACTGTAGAGGATTGGAAGGTTACAAGAACGATCAAAGAAACCTTTTGTCGTCTGGAAAAATCGTATACTCAGATCTCTAAAACCTTAACCTAATATGCATGCAAGCATTAGCTTATATACAAAGCATAAAAGACTCACGGTTGGACAGGCCCAAACCGGAATAAAAAAGCATAATTAGACGAGCCCAAAAGACGCAATCTATAAAGCCCAACAATCTCCCCCTTTGCGTCAATTTGGAGCGAGACATTTACTAATTTCTTGGGCCAGCAGCCGAAACCGGTACCTTCTTCACGGTACTAAACAGACACTTGGTGATTGAAAGAATGGTCTGTCTAAACCGGATGTACCAGTTAATCATATCTTCAAAATACTTGACATCATCGGCCGAGTTCTCTTTACACCGTTTGACAATGAACAGCACATGCTCCAAACAGGTTGTGGTGTAAAGATGCTTGTCAGCTAAAGCGAAGAGACATTTCTGTCCTTCCGCTCGAGTGAACATGACGGTGTTACGCCTTGGGTCAATCTTGCCCAGCAGCATTTGATTGAGATCACTGGCCGATCCCACAGGAGCAATTTTGGGTTTCTTCTTGAAGACTGTGGCGACCTCCTGATCCATAAGGGCAACCTCCATGATGTAGCAGATTAACATCCTTTTGACATGGTCTAGAATGGGACCATATTCAGCTTCATTGGTCAAAAGGATATTATACAGGACGATCCAATCATGAGGATTTAGATTCGGTAGATCTGCCAGAGAGATAAGATGAGCAGATTTTGCAGATCCCCGAATCAGTTTGAACCGAACGTTTATAAAACGTCCTTCAGTATATGGTTTTAGCACCCGAACGTTTACAATCTTCTGGGCGCTCCATGTAAGGAATTGTGGACGAGCAGCCTTCAGATAGAAGTCAATGAGCTCCCTGTCAAGCTCAGCGTTCGGGTGAGGGACTTCAAAAATATTAGAGAAGACGTGGAAGATGAACGCCTTTCGAGTCAACGGCATATCGAACTGCGAATCGACAGTGTTGCTGCAGTCGAACGATATAACCGGCTCGAGCCATAATATGCTGGGTGTTTCAATGGCCTCTTTGATCAAGCGTTCCCTGGTCCAGGCAGGGAAGAGAGTCTTTCGGCTCTCAAGGAGATCGTGGGCTTCTTTTTGTTTGCGTTCGGCTTCGGCAGCCTCACGCGCCACACGACTGGCATCTTCACCAACATTGCGACTGTTCTTTCGTTTTAAAATGTCGGCAATAGTCTCCTTGTCGCCTTCTTCATCTTCGTCCTCAGCTATAATTTTGCCTTTGTTCTTCACACCCGAACCTAAAATTTGATGAGTTGAAGATGGTTCAGTTGTGTGAGTAGCTTTGGAGGAAGGAGGTGGTTTTGAACTTGTCTTCTCATCTCCCCCTTGTTTCGGAATGGACACAAAACTTGGGAGGCCTTCGACTTTGTTGAGTAGATCGATGGCTGGAGAGAGCTTTTCAGCAAGGGATCGCCTCACCGAAAAGTTTAAAATGGATCGTGTGCTTCCAGAATGTTTGAGATAACAGCGTGGACATCCGAAACACACGTCTTCACCACCTCCCGTTCAGAGCGAAGATCTTCCAGTTCTTGTTGGGATTGAGAGAGTTGAGTGGTCTTGACCTCAAGTGCAGTTGTTTTTGAAGCCAGATCGTCCATTAAAGAACGCTCGGTTGTCAGATCTTCTTGGAGCTTGACGAGGCGAGCTTCAATGGAGGCGGTAAAGGCCGAGTTGTCGTCGCTTATGTTTTGACGTAGATTGGCGAACGAAGGCAACTCCGATGAGACAAACGTGACCAATTGTTGGACAATTGGTTCCAACGATGCCTTTGTGGCATTTGCACTTTCTTGCATGGACTGCAGTAGGACAGAGGCATCAGAAAATAGTTTATCGACTTTTTCGGTCGCTGCCTCACATGCCCGGGTGGATGCCTGAATTGCTGCAGTTGCTGAGGCTGCTGAATCATGTTGAGCCCTGGAGAAGGCATCAACAATCTTCTGAAGTGCAGCTTCAGACAGGGTTGATTGTTGGTTAGACGAGGAGGCGAGAAGTAGATCAATCTTCTCGTTGAGCTGTTTGAGATGTTTCTTAGTTACTGGGGCATCATCCTCCTCGTCACTTTGAACTTGAAACGGACTATAGTAGACCGAATCAAAGATCATGTTGTCTCCCCCGAGATAAGGGTTTTCACCCTCAGATGCATTGTCATGAGATGAAGAGGGTGGAGAGGTTGGGGGTGTTGAGGGTTTAGTGGAGAAGGTTGAGTTGGTGAAGGTATAGTTTCGGTTGGTGGTTGAGTATGGGTAGTTTCGGTTGGTGGTTGAGTATGGGTAGTTTCGGTTGGTGGTTGAGTATGGGTAGTTTCGGTTGTGGGTTTGGGTTGAGGAGGTTCGGTTATGTGTGGTGATTCAGTGGTGGTGGTAAAGATATGTGGAGGGGAAGGAATTGGGGATTTGGGTAGTTCAATCTCTGGGATAGGGGATCGAGGAGGTGTATTGCCTCTTTGTGGAGATGCATCCCCTTGAGAATCGTCAGAACCCGAACTCTCACCCTCAGAGTCACTCGAAGAGGAGGGTATAACAAGCTTTCGCTTCGGTTGGGTCTTCCTCTTCTTCAGTGGGGGGGAAGGAGCAGCTTTTGGCTGTTTCCTCTTTTTAGGAGAAGGCCCCTTTGAAGCTTTGGAGGCTTGTTTTCCTTTGTCCGCCTTTTTACCTTTGCTCACCGGTTTATCTGCGTCATGAATAGACCTGAGCATATCCGGGGTCAGATCCCTTGGACCAGACGGTGTTAGCTCCTTGAGCTTCCGAATCAACCTGCTATCCGAAGGGACAGCGCCATACATGGACTCCGGAATTGAACCAATAAAGGTGAATTTTGATGCATCTGAGATGATGATCTTCTTGGTATGGAAAGTACCAACAGAAGACATCGATGCACCGTCAGCAGTAGGAACGTCGAATCTGTCCATGGCCCATTTGGTTATCAGAATCCAGAATCGAGCCAATGAAACTTCAGAGTGTCTGGATGAAGAGGAGAGGCTTTGAATAAGCTGTTGCCATAGAACAAACCCGTAATCCAGGTTGATCCCATTATAAACCGTACAGGATGGTGAGGAACAGACGACTTGCACCGTCTGAACCTGAACTTCTCTCCGACAGTCCCTTGAAAAGGACTGTAAATAAACCGTTCCATTGAGGCGGCAAGCACGATTTTTTGAATCTTGCAACTGATGTAAGAACCTCTGTGTATCCCATGTTGTAAAACATGCTATACAGATGACCAATCTGTATCGACTCCGGATGAACTCTGGACGGGTCAGAAGCAAATCCGAGCAACGAGCAGAAACGAGGGCGGGAGACGGAGGTTTTGTGGTCTCCAATCTCGAAAAAGACCCGGTCGACAGCCCTGTCATAGTATGCAGTCGCGTAGACCTGCGATAGGGCCTCCATTGGCACTGATTCGATCCTGGAAAGTGCTGGTACGAGTTGTGAATACTTTAAGCACTCTATGACCGGTGACATATAAGGGTCGTATGCCTTTGGGTTAAGATCAATGATCAAGCATTGCTGCGGGCGAATAGGAAGAATCTGGGAGGTAGCATGAACTGAAGAAGAGTCAGCCATTGATGCAGGTGTGAAGAAGATGATGAACAGGAAACTGTATGGGAGTGTTTGAGTTTTGGAAATTTTGAGAGTGGTAAAGAGGTAAAAGGAGGGGGAATGGGTTATTTATAGTTGGTGAGAAGAGAGAGAAAGATCGTTTCAAATCACGTATGGATGACAGTTGGGACGGACGATGATCACGTAGGAGAGAGAGTGTCAGATTCCTAGGACCACGCCACCCAATAAGCGTCGTTTCATAGGGACAAGCCGTTACTGTTTAACCACGCGCATTGAATGCCACAGGACAAAGAAAAACTTAGGATTTAAAAAGAA